TACCTTCTGTGTTGCCCAAGCACTTTCAATTCTGTGATGAGATTCTCCGATGGATTTCAAGCCACCTCCTGAGAAACTACTGGGACCTCAATGGTGACTCTCTGGGGAACCCAAGAATGATAGGAGGTGTGGCCGTCACACACTTTTCTAGAAATACTTCCCAGAAGCCAGGTAGCACTTAACTTCTTAGTTCCTTGTCCTCCTTCCTGATATCCTCAAAGGAAGTAAATAGTCCACAGGATTCTATTTCTGTTCTGGACTTTTAAAATTTGTTGTTCAGTAATTATCACAGGAACATTTAAATATTTTTAAATGGGACAAGTCAAATCAACTATTTATCCATTCCACTTTTATTCTTGCCCATGTACAAACATATTTTGATATGACAGCACAATCATGCACATCATGCATTTTTCACTCCACATCATAATTACGTCTTACAGAATCTGCATAAAACAGATTAGAAACTACACAAATGTCCCCAAATGGTAAAATATCTAAGTAAAAAAGAACATTGATATTACATTTCCATCAACTGTTTCAATCTCTGTACAAATATTGTAATCATCTGAGGAAACAATTTCCCCACCTCAGTGCTTATATTATTCATTTTCGTGTTCTTGTTCCTTCTCAGATTTAGGCCTCAGTGCTATTAAGAACACTGCCTAGTAGATCAGCTTTTGTAGGACTGTGTCATAAGAACAGAGATTGACCATATGTCATTACACTAAAAACTGTTGTTTAACAGTTTTCTTCAAGAATGAGTTCTCTGATGTCCAGCAAGGGGAGAGCACCATCTGAAAGCCTTTCTGCACTGATTACATTCATAAGGTTTCCTTCACTATGAATTCTTTGGTGTTCCATAAGTCAGATGGTCTGCTGAAGGCTTTTTCACAGTACATTCAAGTTTTTTGTCTTTTTAAAAAATTTATTTTATTTATTATTTCTTTTTGGCTGTGTTGGGTCTTCGTTGCTGTGCCCGGGCTTTTTCTCTAGTTGTGGCGAGTGGGAGCTACTCTTTGTTGGGGTGTGCAGGCTTCTCATTGCGGTGGCTTCTCTTGTTGTGGAGCACAGGCTCTAGGCACGCAGGCTTCAGTAGTTGCGGCTCGTGGGCTCTAGAGCACAGGCTCAGTAGTTGTGGCGCACGGGCTTAGTTGCTCTGTGGCATGTGGGATCTTCCCAGACCAGGGCTCGAACCTGTGTCTCCTGCATTGGCAGGCAGATTCTTAACCACTGTGACACCAGGGAAACCCCTATTTTTTAAATTTTTAAAATATTTATTTACTTGGCTGTGTTGGGTCTTAGTTGCAGCACACCAGCTCTTTGTTGCCGGGAGTGGGCTTCTCTCTAGTTGTGGCGCTCAAGCTCTAGAGAGCGCAGGCTCAGTAGTTGCAGTGTGCAGGCTTAGCTGCCCCAAGGCATGTGGGATCTTAGTTCCCCAACCAGGAAATGAACCTGTGTCCCCTGCATTGGAAGGCGGATTCTTAACCACTGCACCACCAGGGAAGTCCCTCATGTGGTTTTTCACCCTTATGAATTTTCTGATTCACAATAAGATAAAAGCTCCATCTGAAGATTTCCCACATTGATTACATTTATATGGATTCTCTCCAGTATGGATTCTTTGATGTCCAATATGGTGACAATTCCGGTGGAAAGACTTTTCACACTTATGGCATTCATGAGATTCCTCTCCATTGTGAGTTCTCTGAAGAGTAACAAAGTGAGAACTCCAACTGAAGCATTTCCCGCACTGATTACACTCATAAGGCTTCTTTCTTTTCAATGTGAGTTCTTTGATGTGAAATAAAGCCAGACCTCTGAAGGAAACACTTCCTATATTAACTACATTCATAAGGCTTCTCTCAATTATTCTTTTTTTAAAAATTTATTTATTTATTTATTTTTGGCTGCGTTGTGTCTTTGTTGCTGCATGCAGGCTCTCTCTAGTTGCAGTGAGCAGGGGCTACTCTTTCTTGCAGTGCATGGGCTTCTCATTGAGGTGGCTTCTCTTCTTGCAGAGCATGGGGTCTAGGTGCGCGGGCTTCAGTATTTCTGGCACTCAGCCTCAGTAGTTGTGGCTCGCGGGCTCTATAGAGAGCAGGCTCGGTAGTTGTGGCACACGGGCTTAGTTGCTCTGCAGCATGTGGGATCTTCCCGGACCAGGACTCAAACCCATGTCCCCTGCACTGGCAGGCAGATTCTTAACCACTGCGCCACCAGGTAAGTCCCTCCATTATTCTTTCTTTGATACACATTAAAATCAAGGATGTGACTGAAAAACTTCCCACATCGAATATAACAGAACAGTTTTTCTTCAGTGTGAGTTTTCTGATGCCTAATTAGTTAAGACCTCCTGCT